ATATATATATATATATATGTCTAAAATTAAATCATAGCACCTCATGTGGCAATGTGGTTAGTGTCTTCTTTTGTATATATTTGATCCAAGTTCAAATCTCATACTTTACATCAATTTTTCTCAAATTAAGTTTAACGAGCCAATTTCGAGCCGAACACGAACACGAATATTTAAATCGAGCCGAACACGAACACGCTGTTCACGAGCCGATTTCGAACACGAGCGATTTCGAACACGAGCTATTTCGAACGAGCCAAACACGAGCCAAGTCTGAGCTCGCTCAAGCTCGGCTCGTTTACAGCCATACTTAGAATGACCTTACAATCTTTACATTTTCGAAAATCTCTTATTCTCATATTATTAGATATATTTTTTTAAGTAATAATATGTTTCTCATATGTTTTCTTAAATAAAGTAATAACAATAATAAAATCATACGTTAAAGCAAAATCTAATATGACTACCTTATTCATTAATCACTCCAAAATCATAGTCACCATGCATATTTCTAAAACTTTCCACAACTTTACCAACATGTCTATGTAAACTTTCTCCATTAAAAACTCTTAACTCTTTCTTCAAGTGATGTATTAATTTTTCTAGGTCATTCTAGAATTTTTCTTTAGAACCTATATCTAATCCTACTCGAGGAACATAAACACTTATTACATTAAAAGTTTTTGTATCAATAACAATCTTAAGCTTATAATTCTATCTCTAATTCTATTAATTTTTAGAATATTATCTTTCAAACTCTTATCTATATAATTACACCTACAACATTTCTAGTGCGACTTCTACCTGAATACTAAAATTTAAAATCTAGCCTATCAATTTTTTTAGCGTTTTTTCGAACCCATTTATTTTATTGAATACATAAAATATTCATCTTCCTATGGACCATAATAATTCTATTAATTTACCTATGAGAGTACCTATCTTCCTATGAACCATAAAAATGTTTTTTTTCGGGCAATATAATTGTTCTATTATGTGTCTCTGTTTGCTTGTTTATAATCCTCATGCAGCATTCAATATGAAAGGAATATAATCATAAAAAATAATCTATTTTAATTGAAAAAAAAATTGCCAAATAAATCTTCTTGACTGAGCTTATCAGGTGTGGTTTGGTGTGATGATTCTTGTTGACAATTTCTTCGATTGTCAATGTGAATATTAAATCATAGGAAGCATCTCCATGAGCAATCAATGATTACGTATCGGAGAAAATAATTCATCAAGAAGATTTGACACCATTTGATCTAGGCTAAAAACTAGTTAACAATTTTTCATCATTTTTGCGTCGATTGACTTTTTTCCCAATATGAGCATTTTAAGATGAACACCCACATAATTTTGGGTTATTAGAGGTTTAGCATTTCTGAGAAAATTTTATGATTTTGGAATGTTTGCAAGATGAACAAACACACGATGGCATGATTAAAACCACTTGCTTGCTACTTATTTTAGGGGAAACTTGAGGGAATCATTTCGATTGTCCCTTGGTTGTAGGCAATGGAAAAAGGCTGCCACCGCCCATCCTATAGAAGTTCCTCACATGGAAGTAGCTAGCTTGACCATTCTAAAATGTGCTGGGTCAATTCCATTCAACTTGGCCTTTTTGGGGCGGTTCATATCCATCTCAATTGGCATAAATGTCCAAAGAATCGTCCAATGTGCTAGATTCTATTTGGGGATCATCTTGTTTTAAGCTTGTTTTTTCATGCCAAATTACCCTGAGATATGTGCTTAACATCAAGATTTGTAAGTTTATATATGAATTTTTATATTCTTGGTAAGTGCTTGTTTATTTTCGGATTTTTTAGTGTTGAGCCTACAAATGTTTAGTAGCCAGGATGTTTTATTTTCTTCGAGACTGGGAACCAATCTTGCTTTGAGTCAAAATCTCATTAATCATGACTTCTTGTCTGATAATTTCTGTGGACATTCCATCAGACTGTAAGACACATCGAATTTGGCTTGAAATTTGAGTGTGCTTTCATTAATAGACAACTTCACAAACAACATTCTTTTAACAACTTCACCAACATGATTCTTGAAATAGAAGTTTTTTAATATATGATTTTCAATGATTTTTTTGAAATCATTGAATTATTTCAGTCTTCTTTTAACTCTGTTGCATTTAACTATTCTTGAAATAGTATTTTATTATGCTTTTTTCATTATTTCTTGTTTCTTGTTATTGCAGGGCTTTTATATTATTTAGGTTTGATGAATTTTCTAGTCAAACTTGATGGCTTGCTAAAACTAAATTGTAGCTCATAGTCCACCTTATGTTTTTCTTATAATGTATTCTTTCCTTCTAGGATAAAAGATTGAGAAGCTGGGTCTTTTACCCGGCCAATATGTTGTCAGAAATATAAAAAATCATTATGGCTTATGCATTTGCTTGTTAAAAAACTTTTAGTGCAGTCTTCTGTTGTCTTCTTACTCCAAAATCATTCTGGTTTCCTGTGAAAGATATTAATGATCGGTACACAAATTGTTGCACTACGCAAAGTGAAAAAAGTATTCGTTAGGGTTGAGTGAATTTTTTGTGAGTCTAGTGTTGCTCGACTTGGGGCATTAAGAAATTTTTATGCTGTTTTAGTTTGATTTTTTTTTTCTTTTTTATTTTTTTGGGAAAATTTACATTATTTAGTGTGATGAAAGTTGTGACTTGTTGACGTTGTAATTTGAACACGTTCATGTGTTCTTCATAAATTTCGTCGAGTTTGAAATATTGTTTCTAATGCAGTTATTGGAGGATGTTAATGTATTTTAAGAACTACATGCAGGATTTGCTCTGATGGATGTATTCTTGTATTTGATTATTTGCTTATAAAGTCATGTCTCTATAACAAGAAACTTATCATGTTAAGTAGGGCGCCTTATTTATAATTGAGGATGTTGTCCGTTTCAGGACTTACCTTTGACCTTATCTCGCTTTGCTTTCTGAATTATGATGAAGTTGGGCTTGTTTTTGGAAGCTTGTTTAGCGGTTTCGTCAAGAACCCTTTGATTTTGGAAGCTTCAATGAAAATTAGAAGCTTCATAAATACTCGTGATTCTATTGTCGTATTTTTGTGTTATTTCCTTTTTGTTACTGTAATTTCACTTTGGATTACTTTAGGATTCATTTTATCAAAGGGGCATTTACATACACACTACTCAATTCCTATGTATTTTCATATCTAACACCTAATTTTGGCTTTTTACACTTATACCCACCAAATCTTTCTCATCGCAGAATACCACTTTTTTTAAGTTATAAAAATGGAAATAGACCTCTAAAAAATGAAGCATAGGTGTTTTATATGTAAATATATAACAATGGAGTGGCTTGTATGTAAATCTTCCTTTATCAAATGCTTGTCTTCTTTAAGTGAAGCTGTCTCCATTGAGTTTCTGTAACAGGTTGCATCATGCAACAATTACATCTAGAATTTTAGAAAGATGACTTTTCATAATCAAATCAACCATCTTTCTTTGGGTCACCATTGTTGGGTTGGAAAGTTTTCTAGACAATGATGAGCATCGAGGTTTTATCTTCTAATTTATTTTTTAGGTTAAATTTTTTATGGATTTTTCTGCAATTCTTTTTTCAAGTCATTTTGGAAAAACATTGTTCATACTTGAAAACTAGATTAGATTTGATCATGCACAAAGTTATGTAGATGTGCGTTTTATAAGCTTAATGTATGAATTTAATGAAGTGTCCTTAATTATTAATCTATGGGTACAGTGATCCTAATAGAATCAGAATTGTGCCACTGTTGGATAATAAACCTTTGTATATGGCCTCATCCAGCTACGGAAAATCATCCACCTATTAACATTTACCAATTTGAAGATTCTCATCCAGTGCCACTAGGCTTTTCTTTGTAGTTCGCATCTTCATGCATGCATGCATGCATGCGCATACGTACATACATCTCTCTCTCTCTCTCTCTCCCTCTCTCTCTCTCTTATACGAGCCTCCAACCACCCCTAATGTGCCTAACAATTCGAGTACCACCTCCTTAAGGCCAATTGTGCCAGATGAGATTCGAACCCCGACCTGAGGGGTCTCATACTGTGAATGGGGTAGGCGGTTTTGTCTTTGGGTAAAAACTCTCACGAGATAAGAGAACGGCTTGAACTAAATATTTGAGCTGTGTTATTATCTTTTTGATCATGTATTTATTGATATATGCAAGACAAAAACAAAAAGAAAAAAGAAAATAAAGAGAAATTTTTCTATTCATTTCATAATATCATATTTTGCATATTGCACCAACTTTCAGTTAGTTCCAATCTGGGTTATAATATGCAGATTTGGTGTGTGGGAAGCTGCAAAATGGGCTGCGAGAGTCCGAGAGCTGACAATATATGATCCAATGCGTCCAGTTGTCCTCAATCTTACAGCTGATCTTGTTGAGGACAGCAAATACTTGCAGATCAAAGAATTAGCATTGGAAACTGCTTTCCTCATCAGAATGGTTGCAGATTCGAGCAGTTGAAGAAGCAGACTCTCTCTCTCTCTCTCTCTCTCTCTCCTGTATCAGTTTTGATGAGTCTTTGTTTGCTTGGTCTGTGTTTGGGTTGTATGGCAATTTTGAAAGCCCTCCATTAAAATGTCTAATATTTATGTTACATTTCTCATAGATTCAATGTCAATTTAGTGAAAAATAATTAATAAATGCATTTGCATTTTTCTATCTTTTTTTATACAGTTTTTGGATGTGTAAAGGATGGAATTAAAGATAGATTAAAATTTTCAAAATTCTAAACTCAACATGATGGTCAAAATTAATATATATATATATAT